CCCCAAAACCCCAAAACCCCTTGATGAATAATTTTTGAATTCTTAAGTGCCAATTAATATAGCATTAATCATTAAACTATAAATACCAAATAGAATTATTTTTTCACTCTTTATATTATCATAAAGTTACTTCTTTTCAAAACTTGGTTGAAATATTTTTCTTAAATTCCTATTAATCACGAGCTTGATTGATTTTTAATCCATTGGAATCTAAATTCCTTAACAAAGAGCAAATAGTTGAAATCAGTATGATATTAATGTGTAGCAAATTTTTCGAACTATTAAATGCTATCTTAGATAAACTATTCAAATTATGAATAGAATTTGCAGACTTTGTTTTTAATATTGGATTCAAATCTCATTTTTATAACTTCTGTACTCATAATCCATCCAGAATAAATAATTTAGTCATTTTCATTTTCACTAAATTCATGATAAAAAGGTAAATGTGATACTTACTATGACATATTGAATTTCAACTTTTTCAAGTATTCTGTTTTGCTCCATAGGTCTTAAAGCTAAACTCTTTTGCTATCTTTCTTCATTTCAAAACTAGCATAAATGATTAAGTAAGGCTCAAGAATTTTAAACAAAATTCTTTGTGTTATTTCTAAACTACCTGAATCTAGAAATATAGAAGCTATCAAGCTCTCAAATACATCTCCAAGCATTTTCAAATTACTACCTTCTAATGTTTCAATATCGATCGGTTATACACCATTTTCTAATAGTAAATCCTAAGTCTATTCTACATTAATTTCACTATCATTCATCTAATTATTTTAAAAGTAGTTCTTTATCTCTGTATCTTCATCCTTTAGATAATTTAATGTGAGAGCCGTCTCATAAGTTTTTCTGCAATTATACGCGTTAAGTTTAATAAATTTAATTGCATTTTATTTAGTTGAACCCTAACTCTAAAGATTGTCTATTACTAGTTGAACTAAATGATTGAATTATGATCTAAAATTTTCTTGTTACTCATCATTTTTAATGAGCTTATAAATGTTTATCTCAATAGTAATCAGACTCAGTAAAGTGTTGTTGACTATTTAAGTTCTTAATTGGTGCAAAATTTTTGGATTTTAATTTAATTTTTAGTCCTTCGTTACTCCCAATAAGTACTATGTAACTAATAGTCCTAATATCTAATTACCAAGATATTTAAGTCTTCCGCAGTTCTAAAATTTGTTAGATTCATCCTGTTTGTATATCTCTGGATTATCATAATGTTAATTCTGTTCTTAATCTTTGCTTTTATTTATAGTCTTGTTATTGAGTGCTATAATTGCTATTTATTAACACTAAAATTTGTAATTAAATATCTGTTCTAGTTATGAAATTTTAGCTTTTTCATTGCTATCAATTGGGATCTCGGCGAATTCTCTCATCATTTTATCTCGATTTTAACCGTATAGACTCAAAGAGTATTTAAGCATTTTAAGTTTATCTTATAGAAATTTGTGAGTTTGTTCTAGTCCAGCCTCTTGAGTTACTGCTCCAATAACAGATTCCACTTAATCTGCAAGATGCTTTGTTTCAAATTTTTTTAAGTTTAAATTTTCGTTTTGAATTACTTTTCTCCTTTTATTTTCTTCTTTTTTGTATTTTATCTAGAATTTTTCTAATTATTCTTAGGCGACATCAAGCTTAAGTTTTTTAAGTGTGATACCTAATTCTTCAATCAATCTAGTTCTTATTCTTTGTAGAAGTAAATCTTGAATTACCTTGATATTCCTCTATTAAAAGAGCTTTTATTTCTCCTCAATCACTATTTATTAGGCTTATTTATTTTTTATTAATTAGAAAGCATTTTATTAAGTTAAAATACTTTTTAGCAATTCCTCATATTCACTGTTAAACTCATCTAAATCGACTTAGCTTTCATTTCCATTTCTTGTGATAAATATCTGCCGTTTAATTTGAATTATCTTAGTTTGAAACTCATTTAAGTATTTTTGTTTTATATTTTAATGATAATCAATAGGGTCGAAATCTGCTGGAACAACATCATTGAATATCTTATTCTGATCCATTATTAGGTACCTAAATAGTTAATTTTTTATATTGATTTAAGCGAGATTTTTGTTTTCTAGAATTTTTATTCTCCTATAATCTAATTCTGTCTTAGTTTAATCACTACATATGAATAGTTCAAGCGCAACCAAGAAATTTAAAACTGAATCTCCATAGAATTCAAGTCTTTCATAATTATACTACTTCTTTACAGTTGACGAGGTTAATGCTTCTCTAATAGCTTAAGGATTCCTAAGTAAATAATCTTCAAAATTTTTAAATTCTTTAATATGATTCTCATCCCTGACTCTGATTGATTACCTTAAACTTAGTCCTTATTCTTTGCTTTCCCCCTAATTATTGATAATTATTGGACCACATAAGTAAGTCTTAATAAATTCTCTAATAATTTTTGCATCATTTAGTTCTGAAACATGAAAGCAAATACTTTATAGAGATTAATATCTTTCATTATCAAATGGTGTCATATTAAGAGTTTATGCAGTAAAATCAAAGAAATTTGGAACATTATCAAGTAAATTTTATGATAAATTTTTCCTGCTTTTCACAGGAATATCTTAATAATATTCCTAAAAATTTTTCTATTTTTGACACTGGTATATTATAGGACATTCTTGTTTGTTTAGATAAATAGCATTACTAAGAAATGAATAATCTTGAAGAGATTAGTTTATTCCATATTTAGATTTCAAGAATTTTGAAGTATGTTTTGGAAATTAGGTTTCTATTTATGTAGGAATCAATTAAATTCTTTTCACATCCCACAAGCTTATATCATTATCATATCTGTATTATGAATAATCAATCATGGTTTTATTCTCCTCATTCAATTCATTTAATTGATTTCTTAAGTCCTTAAGAGATGAATAGTGTTTCGATTTATTGAGGTTTTTTAATAGAAATTTATTGTGATTGAAGGTGCTTTCAAAGATTTAATTGAACCGTTTAGCTACTCTTTTTGACTCTATTAAAGGATTAAATGTAATGATTGATTATTTTTACCTTTAAAAATATGTCGTTAATTAACTTTAAGAAAATCATAATTTTAGAGATCTGTGTAGAATAAACCTAAGTTCGCTGAAGTTTCTTCTATTTTTACATCACCTAAAAAGTATTTAATTAATTCAATCTAAAGATATGACTTAAGATCCTGGAATTACTAGTAGTCAATCTAAATAGAATCATTCATCAAACCAACTTTGGAATAAATTAGTGGGATTGTATATGATTTAATTTTAATCTCTTGATTTTCAGTATTAAAATTATTGCTCCAGTATTGAATTATTTTTTAAACAATTTATTCACCTTATAGATGCAACAAAATTGAGACTTCATTTCTCTAATACTTTTTCTCATGATCATTTAGAATAAATCTAACTAAATCTGTGAATAATCCAGAAAAAGTGAACTCCCCAAGCACAAGCTTTTAGTAAAATTCAACTTAGAACTAATTCATCATGTAATAGATGAATGTATGATAGAGTGATACGTTTAGGATCCATTCTTAAAGGTTTAAAAAGGGTCCAAAATCAACAATAGGTATCGGTGTCCATTTATACTTCAAAGTTTAACAAAATTGCTACTCCTTTCTCTATTGAAATGAACTATCATTGATATTTGCCTATTAGCAGTTCTATATTTATTCTATCAAGTTTTTGTGATGTGTAATGTTATCTCTTAATTGCTGGCTTAATGCTAATTCATATTAATTATTAAAGTCATTCAGAGCTTCATCCTAGATTATTCCTACACATTTAGCAAATTTATCATCATTATGATGATGTATAGGAACGAAAGCCATTATATTGAACATCTTCAAATCAATTATTGTATTTGTTTTTAATTAGGGGTCTATATGCTTCTCCATTGAAATATAATCGTTCATAACATAAAATTTAGGATTCAGTACTTATTGCTATGGAAATAAATGACAAGGATTTTGCATTTTATTCTAAAGTTTATAAGTAATATTTTCTTCTTTTAATACTTATCCAAAATTATATTTCGGATAGCAAAACTATTTATTCCAAGAAGGAGATCTAGGTATAGAGGGTATATCAATTCTTTAATTAATATATGAGCTTTTATTGACATTTTATTGTGCTTCTTAGTTAGATATTTAATTATGAATCTGATCCGTTTTATTAATTGAGCACGAAAGATATTAGATTTATTCAACTGATTGAAATGCTTCTTATTGCTATTATTCTACTTTCTTTAATTTTTCCTATTAATCTTATTTTTATCTATCTTTAGTCTGGTACTGAGATAAAACATATTTTTTGGGGATAGTATAGGTTCTTTGTATTAAATTTTTGCTAATAACCAAAGGTTGCTTCACTTCCATAAATTATTTTATTTTATTTGTATGGATTATAGTATTAATAATTAATATGCTTTTCGATTATTATTCAGAATATTATTGCGCGTATTTGTATAAATCTTTACCATTTGGGGTTTTGGGGTTTTGGGGTTTTGGGG